CCCACGGGCTCAGGCAATCCACTCATCTCCGCCTCCCAAGGCGCGGGATGACAGGCTGAGCCACCGAGCCCGGCTACATTGTATATTCTTGCATGTTTAAACCTCAGTCATTTTCAAATACTCTTCATGCTCAAATCTGGTTTTGAACTCATCAGCTTTTGTTGCCTTTTAGTGCTTCTGATATTTTTTGTTTCGCTTCTTCCACATTGGCAAAATACTTCCCTTTGAGGACTTTTTATATCCAGGGAAACAAAAAAAGTCACTCAGGGTGAATAGAGCGGGCGGGACACAGAGACCATGCCATTTTGGGTCAAAAACTGTTGAACGCTCAGTGCTGTTCACTTGCTGTTCATGTAAGTCACTCTTCAAGAAATCGGCAGACCTATCAAAAGAATCTCCGTTAAAAAGTTCACCGAATGCAGCCTGATGCAGCCTCTCACAGCAACGCTAGCTGGTACACACATGCCATTGTATGCCTAGAACACTCACCTAGTGGGGCAAGCCTGTACTGCAAGGGGCCCTCCCTCGAAAAGGTAATTCTACTTTTTGGGGAATCCCCTCATACTGATGAACTTTAGTTTTAGCTAGTGTTTTCAAAGGCAGGGTACCAGGTTGCTTTTTTATTTGTATGCTACTTCAAATAATTCAGCAATGAATAGCTTGTGCCAGAAATTTCTGAAAGAATTGCAAGATCAGTGTATCTGTGTATTTAACATTTTTTTGAGCTGTTGCCAAATATGCAGCCTAAGAGAAGTTGTACTAGATTACATTTCCACCTCCAATTAAAAAGGTGGTGAGAGATTTAAGGGCAGCTACTCTAGTCACCCATTCGATCACTTTTAGGATATCTCCAGTTGGTCATTGCTTATGACTGGACTTTTTCTGTGATGGACATTCACTACCTTTCAAGATAGCCTATTGCATCTCTAGGTAACTTGGTTCTTGGTACTTCGGTATATAGAGTAAAAATATTCTTCAAGCTGCTTCCTATCGGTCTTATTTTTCCTTTGGGTGATTTCTTTTACAAAATAACTGTGATATCTGAAGAGAGCTATCATATCTCTTTGCCATTCTATTTATTTGTCATTCTCTCAGCTTTTTTTCCATAGCATATGGCTTACAGTTTCATCTATCTCTTCGGTGTCCCCATTTATCCCAGGGGTACCCCAAATTACCTGTACTTTTTGAAAACATGCTTTCCACATGCAGCATTTCCAAGTATGGAGCTGTTTAAAGTAGGGATGCCATCGTCTCTATTGTTTTGCAGGGTAGAAAAGTAATAGAATAAATTCTTTGTTTTCCTGAATGTGACTTGAATGTGCTTTCAGTAAAAGTAGTTTCTCAGAAGTGCTCTTTGTTTATATCTTTTATAGATTTTATAAATTGGTTAGCAGTTTTATGCATTCTGTTATCTAATTCAGTTTAATTATTTGTTAACTGTTTATTCATTATCAAAGAAAGTACGGTGTAAGAGAAAGAAACATGTTACTGTTAGAAATATGGGTATCATCAAATTAAGATTTTTGATTCTAAAATGACTAGGTTCCAAGACCAAAGATTAAGTTAAAAGGAGAAACTGGATATAATCTGCTGGAAATGATGGCCTATGATCGTCTCAGCCAATCAGGTAATAGTGATGTTCAACTGATTTAATTTAAAAAAGGAAAATTTCTCTGTTAAGGGATGTCTTATGATAAAATCTTCTGTCTGTCCAGGAGATAATTTGCCAGAATTATTTGTTTATTTTTGCCATATCAGATAGGGGCACAATAGATATGAAAGGGATTAGAAGAAATGGTATGTTCTCTCTTTATTTCTTTTTTTCTTTTTTTTCCTTTTGAGATAGGCTCTCAGTCTGTCAACCAGCCTGGAGTGCAGTGGTGTGATTGTGGCTCTCTGCAGCCTTAACCTCCTGGGCTCAAGCAGTTCTCCCAGTGTAGCCTCCAGAATAGCTAGAACTACAGGTGTGCACTACTACAACTGGCTAATTTTTTTTTAAATGTAGAGACGGGATCTCAGTGTATTCCCCAGGCTGGTTTCAAACTTCTGGGCTCAGGCGATTCTCCTGTCTTAGCCTCCCATGCAGTGGCTCATGCTGGGATTACAGGCATGAGCCAATGCATCAGGCCATATTTTCTTTTAAAGAAATATTCAGTATTGTTTGTTACCAGCTGGAGATAATATCTGAACTCTTCCTTTATCTAGCTGCTAGAGCTTCTGTCCTGAATATTTCAAAACACTTCCTGAAGCAAGTATGAATATTGATTTGCCAGCCATTTAACACCAGCTGCTTCTAAAACATTGTTTTTGCTGTGGGGATATAAAGATGATGGATATTTGTCTCTGTCTCAGAGCTGAGAGCATAGTGAGGAAGATAGAAGCTATATATTTACACTCTGTTAGGTTCCGGAGTTTGTAGCTTTCTTTCCATTTTTGGCCCTTTTTGTTTTGAGTTGAAGCATCTCACTCTTGCCCAGGCTGGAGGGCAATATCATGATCATGGCTCCCCACGGCCTTGATTTCTTGGACTCAGGTGGTCCTTCCTCCTCAGCCCTTCGAGTGACTGGGACTACAGGCACACGCCCACACGCCCAGCTAATTTTTGGGGTTTTTTTGGTAGAGGTGACGTATTGCTGTGTTGCCCAGGCTGGTCTGGAACTTCTGGGCTCGAGCAATCCTCCTGCCTCAGCATTCCAAAGTGCTGAGATTATAGGCATGTGCGCTGTGCCCGGCTCCATTTTTTGCTTTTTGGAATGGGCCCTAGAAATCTATGACATATTACCTGTGATTGTGCTAAGACACAAACTTCAAGGTAGCCGGGTGGCCAGTCTGTCAAGCGGTGAACTGGAAAAACAATGCTTTCCTGTCAGGAACATTTTTGATATAAAATTGAATGAACTTTTTAAAGAGCAAGAAGTAGGCCGGGCTCGGTGGCTCAGCCTATAATCCCAGCGCTTTGGGAGGCCGAGGTGAGCGGATTTCCTGAGCCTGTGTGTTCGAGACCCACCTGGGCAACTTGGCGAGACCTCATCTCTACAATCAATCAAAAAATTACCCGGGTGTGGTAGCATGCACCTGTAGTTCCAGCTACTTGGAAGGCTGAGGAGGAAGGATCACCGGAGCCCAGCAGGCGAGGCTGTGGTGGCC